CTGCTCACCGGGTGTCGGGAGTTGAACACTCTTTCGCAAGTTCGCACGTTACCTTGACGGGAACTTGTTGTCGCGCCCGACACCCGGTGAGCAGTTGTTTGTAGACTTGCAGCTGTTCGTTCAACCTTCTAAAGTCCTTGTTTTCCCTCTCCCTCTTTTCTCTTGTGCATGCAAGGTGCTCGCTGAATTGCTTGTAAAGCTTCCCCTTTTCGCGAGACGTCGGGACTTGTCAGTCGCTCATTCTTCGAACTAATCAACTTTCTCTTTTTACAGGTCCTTTGGGACCTGCAAGAGGTTGCAAGTGGGCTGATATTTGCAGACGCAAATCGCAAGGGCGAAACGTGACTTAGACAACGCAAGCTAAGTTCGCATCTTTGCCGCAAGGGTGCCTCGCGACTTAGGCAACGTAAGCTAAGTTCACGTCTTTACCGCAAGGGTGTCTCACACCTTAGGCAATTACAGCTAAGGTCGTGACACCATGGCCATTGTTAGATAAAACATATGGAGGGCTTAACCTTTTCAATTAGAATATAGAGAAATCTCAAAAGGTAGATCACCCAAGTTAGTATACCTTTTTAAATACCAACATTATATCATTCACTAATTGCCACCAATATGAATCAAAAAAAGAATACCAGATATATTCAGATGGTCAAGTACCTTTCTCTTCTTTATCTACTTCCTATCTCATGATCTAAGCCTTGGAGGAACCATAGCCATCTAAAACTTCAAAAACCACCAACCAGCAATTCGAAGGGAGGAAGGGTCATTGAATGAGAGGGATTAATGGCCTGTCAGATCCGATAGGTGGTGGCGAGATGAGGGAGGTGGAAGAGGAGAAAGGTAGCAAAGAAGATCACTGATGGATCAGAAAGGGAGAGAATTTCTCACTTGAATGGGGGAGACCAAGAGGCATAAGATCTGATGAACAATGATTTAATGGTGGTGGTTGGAGCTTTTAGATTGTTTCAAGTAGTTTCACTTGAAACTAGTCAAGTTTCAGACTGAAAAATAGCCCAGTATCGAAAATAACCAGGTAACATCCTAGACTTTCAATTGATTTGTATAAAATTAGGTGGGTTCCTACTTTTCCTATATTGATTGGCATCCAGGAAAAATAGAATCTCACGTGATTTGGACAATATATGGAGAGTCTTTTTCGGGTTTGAATAAGCAAACATGCTTCTGTACTTTCCCATGGAATGAATTGCAAAACAAAGAGAAAAAAATACATATAAAAACTGGAAAATGTGTTTTCTGAAAATAAACACACCTTAAAACATTTGAAAAGTTTTTTCTTTTGGTATCCCAAGAGAAATATAAATAAAGAAAGCTTTATAGATTAACAATCATAAGGCTCTTGCCTATGAGATGTCAGACAACAAAATGTTTGTTAATCAGGATGATTCACACGTTACAGTGCACTACAATGCAAAATTTGGATTATTCTGTTATCTGAAACTTTTATTATGCGTCTCTACCATTAACTAATCTGAATCTTTGACAGCCACCATGGAGATCCCCAACTCAAGAACCAAGAGACCTTTGTAAAAAAAAAAAAATCTGTTAACCTTTACCTTTCACATATCATGCTTTCTTCGACAATTCAGTGGACTCGTGCAAATTTAATGAGATCAAACTATTATTAGTCATTAGAAGTGTTTTTCACTCCTTTTTCAGGTTCTCTACAATTTTAAGATCTGTCATCGGGTTGCTGCAACATGTTCTGGTATCAAACTCATCTTCCACTAAGTTTACTCAGTCGAACTTGATTATATACTAAGACAGCAAAGATTCGAAAAGGCATAAATTAAAGTCAACTCCACTCCTTAGTTGTGCTGCACAACTAATTACCAACTGATTAGCATCCATGATCATCAAGTCCTTAAAGACAGGAGGCTTTCAGACAATTCAGAAGGTGAACCAAATAATGCTTATATGTGCAATATAAACATGGTTTTTTGTCAGCTCAGATAATTATGCCACTATATAAATGCCAAACACTGTACACAACCTCTGAGGGTACATAAATATATATGTCAAGCTATTCATGAAAGTTCCAGCAAATAATCTTGCAATAACGTTAAGATAATAAAAAGTTGACCAATAAGGATACAAATGGCAGAAAACTGTGATGCATCAAGACTTCCTGCTGTCAAGTGCAAAAATATGCAACATTTTGATATTGATTCAGCCACCTAATTGTGAATGTCAACCCCACAAGAAAAAGTAAGTGACATAAAGAAAGCAGTCAAATGTCTCAATTGCCCATTTTGCAAAATAGTATGGAAAACAATGGCATACTCTTTCATCCAGCCATGTCTGATCCATTTTGACAGAATTTTCATCCGCTCCTGATAAGGAACCATGAAAATTTACAACATTAAACACAGGTGATAAATTATGGTTGTAAAGTAAGTCAATCGGTGTATTTTGTGAATAGATAATATTGGACTCATCAAATGCTTTTTAAGGTTCTATGCTTTATATTCCTTGTGCCAATCAGCAACAATCTTGCCTATCATGTGTTGGTTCCACTCTATGCGGATTATAGATCATGATTTTCGTTATCTTCTTAATGAATTTACAAATCATGGTAATTATGTCTATTTACACTGTTGTGTATTGTGCCATTTTTATTCTATTGTATCAAATATTATATTCTTGGTTTCTATGCTATGAGATGATACGATATTCATTCATACTTGTTGTCATATTGGTTGCTTTTGGAATGCATAACAATATCTAGCTAGACCATTCAAATATATCATATGAGAATGAACTTTTCTTTTGATTGTGTTTCCAACTAAAATCTATTGAACATAGTGAATGAGCATCTGATCCCCATTTTCGTTAATACCTAATAGTTTTACATGCACTATACATGCAAGGATGGCTTCCTAAATCCTATTACAACTAGGAAAGTTTGTTCTATAGAACAAACATGCAATTATCCGTACCATACTGCACCACATAATCTCGAGAAGATGAATGACTCTGTTTTCTTGAGTAATTAAAATGCCACAACTACACATGTCTAGTCAACAATGAACTCACCTGAAATATAGACCATGAAAAGTTTCTTTTGGTTCCTTGATTCATTAATTGCATCTGGAATGGAACCTTTATACGTGAAAGAATAACTGGATCTTTCCATCTTTTTCATCACCAAAGAAAAAAGAGAAATAAAGTCAATATAGAATACTAGAGTACAACTACTGAGATTCTTACTCATTAATAGGCGAAGAAAGATATGAATGTGAAATAGTTGTCAATAAAGAAGCAAATAACTTGTATAAATAACCTTGCCTTCGAAGAAATATCTGATAGATTCTCCAGAACAGAATGACTCTAGAATCAACAATGTGGAAAATAAGTTCAACTAAACAATATTTTTAACAAAAGGTTCCAGAAAGAAAAGAAAATCTTAGTGAACTATGAGTTATATTTAAATTCAGAAGCATCTCCTAGAATTAATGATCTACTTGAATCATGTCCTAGTTTGAAGTTTGATTGAGACCGTCCAAATAACACCAAATTGCTATAAGATATAAATTACTTTGATCCCCTTTTTTTATTAATTAGATAGCTAATATTGGGACTAAATTTGTAATTAATGATTATTTAGAAATTCTGGGAAAGAGTAGGTTCCTCCTAGGATTGGAACGTTCCAATAAAATTTAATTTATGACTCAAGAAGGGTTTGGCCTAGTTATCAAGTAAGCAGCTGTGGTATTTCTCATTCCTGACATCAATCTCCTTGTTAACCAACCTCTTAAAGAGCGCAATTTATCAACTAAGAAGTTGGAGAAGGCTTTTTGTTGACAAAAAGGGTAAAGTCAAGAGAACATCTTTTCTAGGTGCCTTCAAGAAAACTTAGCAGCAGTCCCCGCTATATCCTATTCTTCCTATGTCCTCTAACTCTTTATTCTTATATTTACATTTTGTCTCATAATATCTATCTTGTAATGTCATCCCTGCCACTGCCATCGTTAAAGCTGAAACATCGCCTAGATGCTCTTTTGAAAAGCTCTCTTCAGCATAACTAAATCTCAATCAGTATAACCCCTGATAAGTAGATATAATTCAAATGATCAACCTAGAACAGATTTCAAATTATTCAGTCAGCATGGAACTTCAAAGCAAAATAGAGAGATCCTTCAGTGCCCTGGTCACTGAAAACTTCATCCATGTTCTTTTTCTTGAAATTAGTGGATGCCTGAGAAACATGCTAACAGATAGATGTAGTGTTTCCATTTATCATAAGTAGCTAAAACACTTGATTCACACACCCGTATAAAGACCAATACATTTGGTGCCGTGTAACATATAAGGAACCAACACATTCCATCAGGCAACACACAATTTGAGAGCCACCAGAATCTTGTGGTTCGCACTTCGCAGGATGTACCATTCAATAGAAAACAGGCGAAGAACAAGCCGAAACTTCCCATAGATACAAACCCGAGTCGACTCCAACATTAATTTCCTTCCAAGAATGAAAAAAACCCAACTCGGAACTCCAAATGGACCCAACAGAACAGAGGCAATCAATAATTCACAGTATAAACGAAACCCTAGCCCCTCAGGTTCAGATCCCACCTAGCGAAAGCACGATCGGAGCGGTCGCAAAACAGAATTCGAGAAAACGGACTCGAGTGGCGTACCTTAGGGAAAAGGATCTTCGAGGAGAAGAGATCTATGCCGCGGAGGATCGGAGCAATTAGGGTTCTTGTGATGATCGCGGTCTGACCTGGACTACAGTGGAGGGCGATCGCGCTCAGCTGCTGTCGTATCAGTATTTATAGCTTAACGGGTGCACTTTTACATATCCGTCCTCCTCAAGTTGTAAAATGTCGTAATTGTCCCTATAAATTTTAGTATGCCATTAGTCGTCCCCTCTCCCATTAATATACGGTTTTCATCTACGAGCGCCCGCGTTTTGTCACTTTGACGTAAATACCCTTTATCCTCCATCCTCCATCCTCCATCACCTCCGCCCCAACTTTGGCCGTCCCCTCCTCCCTTCCCCCTTCCCCTCCTCCTCCCATCTTCCCTCGTCGTCCGCCTTTCCTCGTCACTAACAATAAAATCAATAGTAGGGCTTATTTATAGGGGCCGAGATATGTTGAGGTTATTAGGATTTTAGGATAAAATCATTATTTTCTCCATCTTAGATCATATTTTGATTGATTTCAGCATCGGAGAAGCCTTGTGTTGTCTGGCTCCATATTCCTCCTACATGGTTGGAGCTGCTTCACTATACACAGACAGAACCAAATTAGATCTTAACAATTGACATTTCACTGCTAAGAAAAACATCTACAACTTGAAAGAACTAATTCTATTCAGAAATATCCAACATCTATCCTGCATGTGAAGCAAGAACAAGAATCAATCTGAAACAGAGGCTAGATTAATCTCTGCAATTAATTTCCTCCATGCATGTAGCATTACAAGGTTAGAGCATCTCAAAACACAGAGAACCAACCCATGATGAGCTTCTGCGAGGCTGCCTCGGTTTGCTGTCAGGAGCAGCGCCTGCATGCAGGCAGCTCCAGGGATTGGCCGCCCACACGGCAGCGCATGCATGCATGCATTTGCTTCGCCGCCACCGGAGGAGAGCAAGGCGCAGATGAGACGAGGCGGACCTGTTGCTTAGTGCCCTCGAGGCGATTCATTCATACGTTCATGTGTCTATCGAGAAGAGAAAACATGCAAGCCGGCAGAAACAAGGTCAATGCAGATATGTTGCAGATCCTCTTCTTCATGAATTCAACCTTCTCTTCTCAAGCACGAGTAACAGAAATCACGGGAACACAGACTGCACTCTCGGTTGGTCGAGAGACAGAAACTAATGTCTCCACTCTCAGTTACCTCGTTCTCTGGATTCAGAATCCATGGTGCTAGAAAAAGTACTGGTGCTTCACCTTTTACTCTAAAACCTGTGTTCGATGATGAGTGTGCTACTACTGCAGATGATCAACAGGCAAGTGTTTTGGATGATCAAACAAACAAAATTAAAGACATTAATTTTGTTTCCGAGTAATAAGACAGTAATTCCTATATCACTTTGCAAACACCATCTTGTTCGAGGGGTTCATCATAAGCTAGCTCATGTGTCCTTTTAGCCTAATTCCTCCTTTTATGACAGTCATGCATGCCAACAAAGAAGACATCTTCTGCACCGTTCTCAAGAAAGTTAAATGCATGGGAAAGAACAACAGTCTCACGTAGTTTTAGATTGACCAAGCAAACAAAAATAATAGTACGAGCTGGAGATTCAAATGCGACTTGCTGCTTTGATATCCTGCTGAGTTTTTGGTTTCCTACAACAAGGCTTAGCCTAATAAATATTTGATTGTATTATAACACTAAACTCTGATAACTATAGAATTTGCTAGCGTTCATAGTAAAGACAGAAATCTGCCTTATACCATTTGCTGGTTTCTTTTATGTTTCAGATTACCAAACTTCTACTTGAGAGTAAGATTTTATCCTTGATACTAATTTAATAGTTTGACCATATTTCTAATGTGTGAATATATTATCAAACTCATCATTTAAGCTGTGGATAATTAAAACAATATGCCTCTCATAACAATAATACAGTGAAGTGGTAAAGACAAAGCCTTGAAGTATAATGCAGATAAACTAGTAAAGCCCTAGCTGTAGGAATTATGTATGATGCATTTTGGATGTTTGACTTGCAGAAGAACTCACATGGGAGGGACAAGATGCAAACCTAGAGGGTGATGTTAAAGCAAGTGTGGTAGCAACAATCAACTGCATGAAACATGCACCCATTAAGATTTAACTTGCAGTCCACTACTGCAGGCTCCCTCCTACCTGCATGTATATATATTGTCAAAGGATGAACCTTTGAAAACATCCAACTTGGCAGCTGAGACATGTGCATATAAAAGAAATCATGGTAGCTGGAATTCTAGCACTGATTCAGTCAACATGAGCACATGAAAGAAGCTCAAGTGTACCTCATCTCAGATATTGGAAAATGACCATTCTCTCTTAACATGACCACATACAAAGCTCCTTAGCTATTATCATATCCATGCATCTGAAGCTCCCCAAAATTCACAGCAAGTGAGACATGATCACCACTCACAGGCCATAACCAAAACTTCAGGATAATGCAAATTGTCAGAAGAAGAGTTGCATTTGACAAAAACCAAGTAGCTCTTCTTGGTTCTCTCTATCATCATCAGTATCGAGAACCCTTACAAGATATAAACATAAGTCGAAGTCAGGATCAGCTAGCTAGAATATTCCTTTCTTTTCCTTAACCATCCACATTCTTCCCCTTCTAATCACCAAAGCTTTGACCTAAGAATCATTCCATACTGTGAAAAGTGGAGCCCCATGGCAAACAGTCACATTGTTTCCTCCTGCTGAAGGAGCCTGCACTGTTGCAGGCATCCAGTTGTTGTACCCGTTGATCTGCTCATAGCCATTCTCTTTCACCATATTGCTACTGGTCGACTGCTGTGGCAGATAGTAAATGCTCCTCCCAGCGCAGGGATCACCAGCGGCCAACATATTCTCATAAGCCATTTGCTTCCCCTCACTCTCAGAATAGCTGCTACTGCCTTGATCTTTTTGATCCACCACCATTGTGCTTACCGGCATCACGTACCCACCGGTGCCATCCACATTATAGTTTCCGTTACTCCCTCCGACGTTTCCATTGTAGATGACTGCATTAGACCCCGTGCTATGATCCACCGAGGAGGACGATTCTAAGCTCATGAGGTTGTGGATCATAGATGGCTGGAAGAAGTTATGGGTGTTGCTCCCCAAGTTGAGATGCTGAAGGTCCTGCAAGCTATGAGCAGCAGCGACGACAGAATCTTGTTCCTGCTTGCACCACCCCCTGGGCTGCCCATAAGGATAGTGGAAGCTGAGGGACTGCGCCTGCTGGAAGGCGATGGTCGGCCAGCCATGGTGGTGGGAGCCGTAGCTGCTGATGGTATCGGTTAGATGGGACGTGATGCTACCATCATCGGTCATCCTGCCGTCGACGCTCGCCTCCGCGTGGTCGGAGATCTCTTTGAGGCGCTTGGCAGCTCCGCCAATAGGAAGCGTGCTGCTCTCGAGAATGGCTTTCACATCGTACCGGCTCATGTCGAAATTGGTGACGGCATTGAGGCCTCGGAACTTTATCGCTGCGATGTCGTAGGCCTCTGCTGCTTCCTCTTGGGTGCCTGCACAAACGTCATCAAATCTACGTTCACAAGACACACTGGTGTGCATTACCAGCACCGACGATAAGATTCTAAGCCTTAGTAGAGAACTTACTGAAGGTTCCCAGGTATAGATCTTTGTTTCCAGCTACCCTTCCTATCCTAGCTTGCCACCTTCCATGCTGATGATGTCTGTCAAGTTAATCATCTGATTTAGAATGGAACTCAGATGCAATTGAATTCTCAACGTAATCCAGTTAACAGTGTCAACGCAAAATACCTTGTCACTCCACGATATATAGAGGCACCACGCGAAAATCCACTACTCTTCCTGCATTTCAAGAACTCAGATTATACCAAATCATCTGAAGTTTTGGTCATCAAGTAATAAGAAGAGTTGGAGATAACACAGATGCATTAACAATCACATACTAACAGGAACCTAAAGCTACCTTCTTAGAGAGGCAACATACTCCTGCCTCGTCATATGCTTCATCTCCTCCAACTCTTTCTCGTAGTTACTTATCTGGTAAGATGCAACACAGTCAATGAGAGAAGATGTAACACATAGCAATGCTGTTGCTCCAACCGGATTGACAAAGAGAAAGAACCTACAGGGAAATTGGTGGTGGTAGAAGTACCCCAGTACTTGAGAGCAGCCAAGTCGTATGCCCGAGCTGCCTTTTCTTCTTTGTCGTAGCCACCTGCTCCAATGGAGACCAGACATGAAGAGAAGCGATACTCGTGAGTGTACAGATATATATATGCACTAGAGAGACCAAAGACGAGCTTCTTTCCTTACCTAGATAGACTGCATGCAGGAGGAATCCACCATGTACAGATCCGGAACATGACGATATCCCAGGAGATCAAGTAAAACGATGAGAAGCCAGCAACACTAAAAGCTCGACCTCGAGATAGACCAAACCTCGATACTAAGAGGCACATACCTTGTCGGCCCTTGCGAGTCTGTCCTTCTCTTCTGCAACTGTTATCCCATAGATGAGCCTCGTACCTGCCTGTCCATCTATGCCTGTGGAAGAGAAATCCTATAAGAGATCAAAGCATAAGCTAAGAATGAACTCTCATCTAGTGTATGTACTGAGAAGTTCCTTTTCTTATCTACTAGCATTTGCTACAATCATCCATCAAATGTGACTACAAAAGCACGTTTTCAAGTGAAGGATTGCATGGTGAACCTTGTAACTCCCCGGTATATCGAAGTCCTTTGACCAAACGTGTCGATAGATTTCCTTGGCACTGCCTCCATCGCGCCGCTCTGGGCGTCAAGGCCACTCCCATTACCATCCTTCTGCTTATTCTCTGACGATGAGCTCTCCCCTCCCCCACTTACAGCCGCTGCCAAGAGCGGCAACGGGGAGCTGGATTGCGACCCAGTACTCATCGACAGTGACAAGCTCTGTGAACTCGTCAATGTCCCACCTACGTTCCCCGCCACCGCACCTCCAACACTACTGTTCATGTTGCTGCAGCCCGCTTCGTCGCTTCCATTTCCTTCCACCTGTGACGGTGGCGCCGGCTGGTTCCGTAACCAAGTCTTGATCACTGATAGCCCGATGGAGCTGCTGCTACATCCACCGTTGCTGCTCAGAAGCCCCCCACTGTTGCAACCATGGGAGTACATGTAGTCGCTCGGATTGTCGTAATTTCCGGCGATGGACGGGAGCTTCTGATTATGTTGTGCAAATGAGTGCCCACCGAGGAAGTCTTCAAGCTTAGGCTGTTGGTCGTCCATGGTGTTCTGGTTGCTACTTGACCCAACCAACATTGACAGCTCAGAAGAGCTTCCTTTATACTCTAGGCTCTTCATACTCCAATCTACAACGCCGCGGTTTTAGTTTCAACAACACCGTAAGCTAGCAAACTCATGCAAGGAAGCAGTGAAAACCAATGCATCCGTACTGACCTTGGGAATGATGGCACGGCCGGTTAAGGGCTTCCAAGATGCCAAAAGACCCATCTGGTCTCAGAGTTGGGATGCCGAGGGGAGGCGTTGACGATGAGTCGGGGGAGAGGCCGTAGCAGTCGGCGGAGACCTCGTCGTCAGAGATGATGCCAGGAGAGGGGTGGATTCGCTGAGCCTGCGGAGGAGGGAGCTCCTGAGGAGACAGCGAGAAGCCTAACCAGTTGTTCATAGAGGCCGGTAAGAGAGCGAGCCCAGCTTGTGTGAAACGCAAACACAGATGTGGAGAAAGAGCGTCAAACCGGTGGGGGCGAAGGGTAGTAAAAGGGAAGGCTGCGGGGTCTGAAGAGAGAGAGAGAGAGAGAGAGACGGGTTTCAGCAGTGGAAAGTTAACAGGAGGGAGGAGAAGGAGAAGACGAGAAGCGGATAGTGCAATGATATGGGAGTTAGAGAGAGAAAGCTGCGCATTGGGGGTCCGAAGAGGTGAAGAAGAAAGGAGGGTCAGAAGAACCTGAGGGAAGAAAGTAACATGTCATATTTATCTCCGTAAGCAAACAAACAAGAGGGCAGGTGACAGCAAGGCTCGTTAAAGAGAAGACAGTGGAAAGAAGGTTGTCAAGACTGTGTGAAATGGTGATGGTAAGTGTTCCTCAAAGTCTGCTGTGTAAATTTCTTTCGGCCTTTCACATCATCTCACCCACTTTTTTGACCGATGCTACCTTAAACATACTCCCCCAAACACAAGAAGAAATCCCCTAAATCAACCTTTGTCAAGACTTCACACCTTGGACAGACTCCCTTAAAACTTGTACTCACTTCCTACCCATTTACTCAAGCCCAGGTTGGCCATCAGCTTCTCTCTCTCTCTCTCGCTCTATCGAAGGAGTGAAAGAGAGCAAAGAGAAGGGCTTGCGACCTGCTTCCTATAGAAGAACACGAACCCTTGTCTTCTGGTCAACAGAAACAAAAGAATGGAGCAAAGATGACCACAAAAGGAGTCGGCCACAATCTATAGATCCTGAAGGAATTTTACTTCCTCAGCCCTACTTGCCATCTTTTATCTCTCATCTCGCTATAAACAAATGGCATATTCCTCGATATGGACCTCTTTATCACGGTACGGAAGAGATAAATTAATCTTCCAGCTTTTATCTCAAGTTGGAAGCAGGAGAGAGACAAGATAGAAAAGAGCAGTTTTTCTTCGTCTTGGTTAGTGCACTGGCCTTGTTGAAAGTTTGACCGCCAAGAAGGGAATCAAACATGGTAAAACACATGGCATCTCTCTCCTCTTTCTCCTCCTCTGTTACAGTGTTCATATGCAAAGCCTGTGATCCACTGTAAAATACATTTAATGCCCCTCGGTAATCCAATCGTGATGATAGCCTAAGCAAGACTGGAGAGAGGGTGAAAAAATAATCACTGAGGAGGAGGAGGAGGAGGATCCCAAAAGCCAAAGCCAAACAAGGAAGCAAGTGTAGGGTTCCCAGGCCGTCTCTCCGAGTTCTCTCTCTCTCTCTCTCTCCACACATCTCTGCGGTCCCCCGCCCGAGACTTTTGTACGGGTGTGCGCTGCATGCGCGGTGTTCCCACGTGCCCACATGAGATGGTACTTGAGCTTGTACACTCGTGTCTCCCACCATTCCTTTTGCTGTGAGCGAGTGCATACAAAAATATCTTCACCCATGTACAATCTCCTGCTAGTGTACACGTCTTCGCACGTGTTGAGGTGCAAATGTTACGTGAATAAGGCGTTTCCTCTGCTACTCACACGTGCAAAAGATCTCTGGTGCTTGTATCCACATCAGGTAAGCTTAGACGCATGCATGCATGCAATGCGTGCATGAAGATTTCTATATCAAGAAAATAAAAGAAGGAAAAAGAAAAAAATAGAAATAAGTGAACTAAAAATACACAGATAATTAGTACAACATCTGCAATATGTGGATTATTATGGCCAACCATCAACACTCCTTTTTTTTGTGGCATCTGGTGCGGTGAGTGAGTGGCATTGAGAGAGAGAGAGAGAGAGAGAGAGGTGTGGAGGGAGCGAAGGATGCGGTGCTCCGTGAAGGGGGTGCACGCATTGGTGGAGGAGGGAGGCCGGGAGGGCGGCGACGAACACGTGCCGTGTGGTCGACAGCTACCATCCCTTACAAAGGGAAATGGTCGGCTCCACAATAAAGAAAGCCTCCTCCTGTAAGCGGCCAACCATAGACTATTGCAGCTGCTGCTGCCGGGGAGATGACACCGTCTCCTCCAGGGGGAGTAGAATGCAAGCCAAAGAGGGTTAGTCCACCAAAACCAAATACAATTCCTGCACACTTGACTCCATTAAACTCCACAGTTTGACGTGGTTAAGTGGGGGGTGAAAGCTCACATTATCTCAAGTAGACAACACTGGTACAGGGAGATGTCCGTGTCTCCTTGCTGTGAAGACGTGAGCATTTCCATGCACAAATGACAAGAAAACTCATACAGAAGATAACAGAGGCAGTGAGTGAAAGTAAGAAAGAAAGAGAAAAGAAATCACACCCCGTCACATCCATCTGTCTCTCCCATTCCTCAGTCCATCAGCAGCTCATTCCATATCCCAGGTTTCGTGAGCTAGCTGTATGGCTAGGCTTCGTTCCACCTCATGTCAAGTTTAGCATGCTGTAACCTTTGTTGTGACTCTGACCCGGTTTTCACGAGTTAGTGCGCTCCATTCTTGATCTTGTCCCCACCTTTATCATTGAGAGAGAGAGAGAGAGAGAGAGGATTTGGAGTAGGTTAAGGGAGGCCTGTCAGGGTTTTGTCTCACATTGACCACCCTCATTTTGCAAATGGAATCCTGCTCTAAATCCCAGGAATGCTCACTGGGAGTAGTTTAATGCATTACTTCCAAAAGGGTTAGTATAATGGCATCCATGGTGATAATACTACCATTTGCGTAAGAATAGGTTAGCAACAGTGATTGGGATTCAAGCTTTCTGACCAGAAAGCCTTGCCAAAGGTTGCATGGAGATGATATAAAACTGAAAGGGGGGGGTTGAATCCAATCCAATCCAAGGGATTGGAAGTCATAAGTCCACACGTGTGCATGGAAGCATGCAAATACATGCATGTATCATCATCATTCCATGCAGGACCCTCTGTGGTACATATTATATGTGTACATAAATCTCATGCACATGCTTCACTCTTTGTATCCCATTCTATTACATCTTGCAACAATTATGATCTCCCACATGGACTCAGGGCCTTTCCTTGTTAGGATGTAAAGTTAAGTGATCACCATAACTTAAAGCAATGTTAAAACTCATTTTATACTTGGATATGATTCCAAACCATGTAATTTAGCTCATTTAGTTGACAAAGAATTGTCAAGTTGTATACTAACTACAACTGATGTTAATGTTAATGTGTTGTTTTACATGACTTAGGTCATCTTCTAGTATTTGGTGTGTTGGAAAATATATGAAGTGTTATGGTGATGGCTAATTTGTTCTGATGCAGTGGGATTGTGCATGACAACCATGACATTGTAATTACATCCCAGTCTACCTTTTGGCTCTAAAACTCACATAATATTCATCATCTGCAATTAAAATCAGAAGCCTCACTTGATCTTTTTGTTTTTGATGATTCAGGTTGCAGGAAGAAAAAGAAAATATTACAAGGAAAACATCAAACTAGGGTTTAGAAATCTGACAAGAATGAGGACACAGCCAATTAGGGTTCTGCACACCTGTCTAGATATCATAAGAGATCAGAATGCAAGGCCTCAACTATTCGAATTGTTCTACTAGAAGTGTGACATGACTTGAGTTCCAAGTCGTGGTCTCAACTAAGTTGCCTGTTGGATTAGAGCTTCAGATGACAGCACCTCATGGTGTCTTTTGTGACAGCTATAATTAACTTGATCATTAATATGTTATACAGCTTTGATAACTTTGATCATACCATCCTAAACTAGGCTTTAGAAGGAAAGATTTGCAATCGGGAGTCCATAAAACATGTTCAAATAATTTCCGAATTTTGTTTGCCATCATTCCTTTTTGAGTCATATATGATCAATATAATTTTTTACCTCTTTGGAGTTATTTATGATAAGAGATGATACATGTTTCATGGAAGGTTATAGAAAAGAAATATTGCATATATAATGATGATGATGATGATGATAATGCACGTTTTGGCCTTTTGAATAGATCTTAAGTCAAATTCGAAACAAAAAATATGAAGAAAAAGAGTTTTTTTTTTATTTATCATTTATACATATTTTATTTTTAAAAAAACATGGTTTGTAGACACAAAGAGTTGATAATTTATTCTAAAGACAAACGATTAAGTATTAGATTTTCACAATGATAAGACCAATTTCTTAAAAAAATCCCATTATATATAAATATTCTAATATGCCAAAATTACTTATTATAAGGTATAAGATAACTCAACTAACAAAGCTAAGAGGAGATAATTGAATGGTTTGGAATTAATTTAGGGTATTACTTGCCTAATAATTTGCACTAGCTGAAGGTGATGCCAGTAAGGAACTATAAACCAAGAAAAGCTTTATGTCATGTCTAAATACACTTGTAGTGTGTGCTTGTTTTAGGATTTCTTTTCATGAGGCAGTGTATGCCTTCAAGGTTGAGTTTGGCTACCACTGGAGCAGGAGATGGCACATGGAGTTTGTCTCTTTGCCTTTGCCTGTGCCAAATGATGGGGAGACATGCTTCCTTTGCATTCTATCTTGACAGCAATGCCATTCCCTAGCTGAAATGAAGCCTTGAAGAGAAAGGCAGGCCATGGAAGAAGTTATGAGAGAAGACAATGGTAGATAAACCTGTGAATTCATTGTCATTGTTGTATGACTCACGAAGAATGCTTGCATCTTCTTGAGCAGGAATGAAAAAGACTTTAAAAGGCATTTAGTTTTATTATTATTAGAAAGTTTTTTTTTTTTCATTTCTTAATTGTAAACAGATTATTTGGAGCTTAGGTTACTCCAAGCAATTCAAATTTGGAAGAACTTCTACTTGAAGAATATTTTTTGAAAATTAAGGGTTGATTTTTCTATAAATACCTTCTGTGGTTTCTTAGTGGATCAACATAGTTTGAAAATAAAAAAATTAATTTTTCTAAAGATTTATGTGAGAGGATGATTCTATTATTCTCACATATTGAAAATTTTAATTTTTTTTAATCATGGAAATAAATAAGAAACAAATAATGTTCATAATTTTGGGGTTTTTGTTTTATTTTATTGATCATTTGATAATTCTTTTGATATCATAGCCTTCTTTCCCCTACAAGTTTGTTTTAGGAGGGAAACATTTGTAATTTTCTTTCTCTAGCAGGTAGCAGACACAGGCAATTGAACTCCTACATGTTATAAGTGGCCCAAGCCCAAGTTAAGAAAAATCAATATTGAGTCTTAGTAGCTAAAATATGATATCTAACATACCATGATATCTAACATACTATGATATCTAAAATATGATATCTAACATACCATTAAAATATGGTATGATATCTAACATACCATTACTTAGTTCCTCGAGTCTCATTACCTAATTTGCTCATGACTGGTTGAATTCTAGTGAGTATGCAGAGCTCAAGAGGTAAAGTTGATGAACCACTTCGCAAGGGGTCCATATAAGAAAGCCTTATTTTTTGTGTAGTATCTATTGTTCTCACCCAGGAAAAAGATATAGCTAAGATTATTAAGCATATATGCTCCACTACTAATCCCACACTCGCATTGAAAAGACATAAGTATGGATT